AATAGAGTGAAAAACATCATCCCTACCCTTGCTACCTAAAATCACCAAGTTTCTCATGCATTTTTGAAGTTTCTCTGTATCTAAGTATCATCATATATTTATACTACAGGCCCAATGCACGATCCATTGGCCTGGCCTGTGCTCTCTTGCAATCTGGGTCCCCTTGGGGGATGTCATACTGCTGGTTTTGGCCCGATCCCCACAGGCCAGGCCAAGGGACCCCACTGTGCATGAATCCATGCACCGGGCTTCTAGTATGCATATAAGATCTTTGGTTAATCTCTTCCCGCACTCCTCCTTCCCCCTTCCCTCTGAGATTCATCAGTCTGTCCCATGTTTCAGTACCTTTGCGTTGAGCGTCTACCTCTCTGGTAATCAGTGCACATCATAGGTACCGGTGGAAGGGTAGGACGGTTGGTTAGGCTTTTATATATATATAGATGTTCTCATTTTTACAATTTCTAACAGAACACAGCTTGTTAACATAAATTTCCATCTTTTCTCAATATCATATATGTTACAGTTCTTTTCATACCTGTGCATTGAGATCTTCCATTCTTTTCTGTTGCCACATGGCACAAATGTTGTTGTGTAAGGGTATAGACTGTATTTGACCAAGTCTCCTTTGATGGACCCAAATTTGTTCTCCTTTGTACACAGTGTTGCAGGGAATAACTGTGTATATGTAGGCGGTGCTGATATAACTCTTGTTCTGGAAACAATTTGTTCCAATGCAATTGATACATCAGGGGACAGTTGTAGCATAACCTGAAGTCTGAGTTTGCTCACATGTAATTTCATTTCTGAGAAACGGTAGGTGAGTATGGAAAGCTGGATTGGAGTTGTGTAGTAATACGCAAAACACACCCCCACCTCAAGCTTCCACCTATGACCCCATCTCCCTGTGCTGAGTAACACTGGTCCACACCTGGTGTAACAATTTTCCTTCTACCCTTCTTCCACCACTTCACAAAACTCAAAGGCCACAGCCCTTGGACCCCACCTCCACAAGCAAACTGCAAGTCTTTTTCAAGGCAAAGTGTCGTTTGATGTTGCATTATCTATATACTAGAGGCCCGATGCATGAGGATTCATACAAGAATGGGCCTTCCTCTCCTCGGCTGCTGGCACTGCCTTCACTCCGGCTGGAGCTGCCTTTTAGCTCTGGCCCAGAGCTGCCTTTTTGCCTTCCCTTGCTGATCAGAGGCCCGGAGTAGCTGGGGCAGTGCGGAAAGCCTGCGTCGTTGCCATGGCAATGACACAAGTGCCTCGGCCGCTGGGCACCTGCACATGCTAATTAAACCTCCATCTTTGTTGAGTTAATTTGCATACTCCTGACTGGCTGGTGGGTGCAGCGATTGTATGGTTAATTTGCATCTTACTCTTTTATTAGTGTAGATTTCTCAATCTTTGACATGTATAAAACAGTGTCACTGATGGTGGTTTTGAGTATTATGCCCCTAAGCTTAATTTTGGATGAAAGCCCTGTAGTTTTTAATGACTGTTGCATAGTGAAGTGATTTATAACATGTGTTATATGTACATTGCATCATTATCACAGAACTGATTGTACCGTGTGTGGGTCTATCAGCAGAATAGATTTCCAGGTGGTGGAAAGGCACAGAGTTAGGAATTATATTCTGAGGGATTGCTGCTGTGATATGCTTAAATTATGCAGTTGATTTTTCCTTTTTCATAGAGGGTAGAGCTGACAAGTGTCAGCATGGTTTGGGAATAATTGTTCCCCTTAATCTTGAATTTGTGGGTGTTTCTGGATGCATGAGGACCAGTAAAGAGGATTTTTGCATGTTGGGGCAAGGCAGAGCCTCAGGAGGCAGGAAGCTCAGGAAGAGGGGAAGAGGATGGCTAGCCAATTGCATTTGTGAAGATGGGACTTTCCTCCCCTTACTTCTTACACACAGAGAGGCCTTCAAGCCAGGAGACAAGAAGGGACTAGTTCTCAGCCTGGAGAATTACTGCCTGTGACAGAGCCAACCCCAGACATATCCACCAAGGGCCATAGAAAACAATGGGCTTCTGGGCCTTTTAAATCCCGGAGTTCAGACTGTGAGGCCCAGGCTGGAGCATTCAGAGCAAAGAAATTTCTAAGAGGAACAAATACTTTCTTTCCCAAAGTATGTGAAGATAAGAGTCGACAACTAGAAAACAGGGAGGACGTGGACCCAAGAGTTCCATATCTTACTATAAAGTTTTACAAAAATGTCCAGATCCTGCCAGCTTATTATATTTGTTCAGCATTTCTTCAGAGAGTTCTAAGTAAAAACAAAACAATTAATCATTGAATGGGAAAGCATGCCTATTTTCTAACTTTAGTTAACTATAAAAAGGCTATGGTTCCCTTAATATCAGCTTACCCTGCATTGGAGCCAAAAGGAAGTAAATGACCTTAAAAGTTTTGAAAATAGAACCATGATAAACTTTACACTTTCTTAATACTGGTTCTCCCCCCCCCCCCCCCCATTTTTGTTTGATTGATAAAAATTGCTTTCTGTGTCATAAAGTAACAGTGTGAACTTTTATAATGTTGAAGATGTCGTTATAAAATTAGTTAAGTTAAAGCATCTTTAAATAAATTAGCATTTATTTAGCAAAGAAAAAAAGCATTTGTTGCCCTAACCAGTTTGGCTCAGTGGATAGAGTATCGGCCTTCAGGCTGAAAGGTCCCAGGTTTGATTCCAGTCAAGGTCATGTGCCTGGGTTTCAGGCTCAATCCCCAGTTGGGGGGCATGCAGGAGGTGTCCAATCAATGATTCTCTCTCATCGTTGATGTTTCTATCTCTCTTTCTCCCTTCCTCTCTGAAATACATAAAAATATTTTTTTAAAAAGAAGAAAGTCATTTGTTTAGTTAGGTACTGTGAACATGGCAGATTTGATCTGGAAACTGGCACTTAAACTTGTAATTTTCTTGTCACCAGTGATTTTGAAACCTTGTTCCATTGTTTTGGGGCTTGCACAGTTCATTTCTGCATTTTAAAAATAAAAATGATGAAAAAGAACAATATCTCACATTTTGTCATCTCTTTGAAAACAATAATTACCGATTCAGCTAAACTGCTCTTCATTTAATTTATTACCCACTGAGGATTTCTTTATTGAAATTTCTCTATTAAAATTTTAGTTTGCTATTAATATACTACACCATAACAAGAAATGGAATTTAAGCTCTTCATCTAAAAAGAAAATGAAATGTTCATTCCTCTTAGGCCTCTTTCTCCTTGTATGGTTAGAAACATTCACTTCAGTGCCTTCATCGTTAGGCATTTTTGCTTTTCAAAATATGTCCTGTGTTAGATTCTTCCAGGTAATGGTGATATTGCCTATCTTATGTACAAAGTTCAAAGGGAATTAGAGGTATTAGTAGATATTTAAAACTATTGAAGCACAGGGAACTGCTCATGACTGACGGTTCTACCCTTACGGCTGTATTCTCAATGTAACATCATATTTGTACTCAGCACACCTAAATCTAAGAGACCGAGGTTTATGGTGGTTTGCTTTGTGTGACCACAGTGCTTTATGAAGGAATACCTTTGGGAGGAGGGACAGCGTGCTCGGAGGCACCAGCTGCCGTTGGCTTTGTTCGCTCTCTTTCCCACAGATTGCATGCTTAGGAGAACAATGCAGGCAGCGGGCCGGCCTTCAGCTCCAGCAGAAGAAACGTCCTCCTTTGCCTTTGTCTGGGTCAAGACCCTTTTGAACACCTGCCAGACTGATTTGCTTTATTTAAAAGACAATATTTTCCACTTCTTTAAGATGGAACTTGGATGTGTAACTTTACTTTTACTAATAAGGGAGCATTTATGGAGGATTTCTGGGTCCCAAGCTCTGTGTTAACCTTTACATTACCTCCTCAGAGGTGGGATCACTGGTGTGGCCGCTACTTCCAGGGGGAGTAGATGCTTAAAACTCTCAGGCACTTAGCTTTGCCTACCGGTTTCTCTAGGACATGCTTGTCATGTGATGTAAAAGCACTATTAAAGATATATTTATCATTCCTTTATCACTTATCAGTTGCTTGCTTGCTTATCTCTTTTTGTTGCCAAAAATAGTAATGTTATTTGAGAGAACATACTCCCATGAGAGGTTTAGGAATAACTTCAGCCTTATTTTTAATAAGGGTTGAGCCAAATTGTGTTTCATTTCCTAGGCTGACATTTCTTTCTAGAATTGATTGACTTGTGATATGTGGTTTCATTGCAGACTGCAATACTTATCACACCCAAAGAATGTGTTGTAAAGTTAAGCCACTCGTTTTACTTAATAGATTTAATGTGGAAATACGTCAAGGTAACATAATTATGTCTTATCCAAAGTGGGAAACTTTTAACTTTGAAATTTTTATATAACTCTTGGTAGCTTTCTTTTGTGCTGTTCAGTCTTCCCCTCAGTTTTCTCCCCTTCTCTCTCCCACCTCTCTTACATATACCAACAGGCAAATCTCCATAAAGTGGTTTCAAACATTTGTGTTCTTGATAGAACCAAATGGTATTATTTAAAACAAAAGGACTCCTGGAAAACTCTTTCCTTATATAAAAGGATATTTCCTTAATCATTATGTGGGAGAAAGTTAAGAAGTTTAATTAAAATGACACACTGGATAAGGTGACATATTCTCTCTGGAGATCATGAATTACATAATGACTCGATTTGGTATTTACTAGAGAATTAAGTTGCTTTAAAAAAATAACATTCATTATATCTCTTTTGCAAAGAACATGTATGTAATGTTTTCTCTTAAATAAATGAGTGTTCAATCAAAAACAAGTGTTTTGGGGAAATATATTTGTAATTATTTTACTCTCACAATAAAGATTTCTGCATTCTGTAGAAATTAGCCTCTTCGTGGCTACTCCAGCCCATGTTGCTAACAACAAGTCTGAGTATGTAACTGACACTCTCAGGAAGGAGCTGTTCCTAACGAGAACATGTTTTCTGTTTCTGCCCTCTGATGGCTGTCTCTCCCTTCTCCCTAACACAGCAAATGAAGAAGCACCCGTGCCGCCAGTGTGACAAGTCCTTCAGCTCCTCACACAGCCTGTGCCGGCACAACCGCATCAAGCACAAAGGCATCCGGAAGGTTTACACCTGCTCGTAAGTTCTGGCTCTGATGGGGGAGCACAGGCAGGGGCTGAGCGGATCTCACTCTTCCATCTGTGACCGTTCCTTTTCCATCCCCATCCTCTCTGTTCCACAGTGTACGGATTTCATTTCTTAATTGAATTTTGCTGTTTTGACATGCAGCTTCTTCTTCTTTAATCCTCACTCCAGAATATTTTACCAGTGATTTCTTTTTAATTATTATTATTTTTTATTTTTATTTTTTTAGGGAAAGTAGAAAAGAAAGGGAAAGACAGAGTTTCATTGATGTGAGAGAAGCACATCGATTGGTTGCCTCCTGCACGGGCCCTGGTTGCCAGGCCAGAGAGGAGCCTGCAACCAAAGTACGTGCCCTTGACCAGAATCAAACCCAGGACCCTTGGACACCCTGTCCACGGAGCCAACCGGCTACGGCGACATGCAGTTTCTAGATTGGGCTGTAACACTTAAAATGTTGAACTAGAAAGGAGCTGTTGCTTGCCCAGCCTGTGTGGGTTTCTGTGTTCTTGGTCATTAACCCACAGGTGTCCATTTTATCAGTGAGGATTTCGGAGAAGTGATTGAGTCGCAGTTGCAGGGTGGAGTCAGTTTGATTGACTCAGTAGTTCAGGGAGGCCCTGATGGGCTTGGTCATGGTCCTGGAGTCAGTCCTAGCTGACCGCTTGCCCATCAGGACAGCTCTGTCTCAGTATGCTGTTGGCCAAGACACCAAAAGCATGGGACTGAGTGGCCAACACACGAGATGGTCATGAGCTACTAAGTGTGTGATGATCTGAAATTGTTATTATCAGTGAAAACGCTTTATCCCACACTCAAACTGGAAGCTGTACAGCCTGTCTGAAGCTCGTGTGCACCACGAGGCTCCGGACACCGTGAAGGTTGGCTGTAGGGCCACTGGGGCTTGGTTATTAGGGAACGTTTCTTGGGTAGGAAAGCGGGGACGTAGACTCTCCTTCAGCGACATTGAAGCTGGGAGTGATTTTGGAGAGATGAGAACCTCTGTAAAAAGGAGCTGTTGAGATTATATTGAAAGAATCAGAATTTAGAAGGAAGACCTGGACTGGGAAGAAGGCCTGGAAAAGGAAGTCTGTCAGGGCATAATCCAAGTCTAAAAAAGACGTACTCCATCTGCACCAAATCAGACTGATCCTATATGGACACAAAAATAGTCAGAAAACTTTTTACAAAAGCGGCTCAATTTTTTTTTTTTTTTTTTTTTTTTTTTTGTATAAATTGTAAACTTTAATTTTAGCAAAGTTGCTACTTCACTTTGGAGCATTGGTGTTCACTCAGGTCCCCGTGACCCCTCTGTGTGTGCTGTTGGTGGTGACGGTCTTTCAGCCGCAGCGGCGATCCTCACTGTGAGTTCCTTTTCAGCAAGCAGTTACCCCCTTGTCTTTGGCTCCACAGGCACTGCCCAGACTCCAGGCGGACCTTCACCAAGCGGCTGATGCTGGAGAAGCACATCCAGCTCATGCACGGGATTAAGGATCCCGACTTGAAAGAAATGACAGAAACCACCAACGAGGAGGAAATAGAGATAAAAGAAGATACCAAGGTCAGACAGGGCAGATGTTCTCTTTCTGACAGCATTGCGTTGACTTGCTTTTTTCATTCATTCTTTTCCTTTAAAACTTTCTCCAGTTACACGATGTAAGAAGTTCTGACTATGCACAAAGGTATGAAAAGCTAGGCAGTCTTCCTCTACACCCATGCTGACCTTTCCTCTTGCTCCTAAAAGGTAACCTTTGTTAAGTTTCTTCTGTGTCCAGCCAGCAAAAGCTTTAGGGATCTACGTACATAAATAAATTTTAAAATTTGATGTTGACTCAGAAATTGCCTTTCAGCCAGAAGGGAGGTATAAGCTGGAAACACAGTGGCTGTGATAGGGCCCTAAGAAAGGTTGTGGTTCCTTTTCTCTTCTCTTTGTAATGAAAGAAGACAAAATGGCGACTGCGTGCCTTATGCTTACATCAGTGGACAGTGAACTTGGATTAGACAGCAATATCTATAATAACCTGTGTACATGGCATGTGGGTGCCAAGAGCTCTTAGGGTAACCAAGAGTCCAGCTGATGGTTAAGGGGTCCTGCTGTCTTTGGCACGGTGCCGCGTCTGGAACGTACCTGGGTAAAGCCTGTGTGTGTTTTCAAGGAGTTACTCATTGAGTCGAGCCAGACAAATGTCGCATCAATTGTAATTCTTTTCCTCAAGAGATGTTCGGAGGGGAGAGGGAGGGGGAATTAAAGAGTGTTTCTCTTCAGAGTGTAAATCTTTTGCCTTTTTAGAGAACAGAGGTGGAGGGACAGGTCAAGGTGTATCAGAGGTGCCCTGTGAACAAGGCAGGAAAGTCGGGCCATGCAGCTGGGAGGAGGGAGAGTCCCTTTGGTTTGGATTTTTGGAAATCTCAAAATGAGGGTCAGATCTATCAAAGAAAGCTGGAAAGGGAGGAGAAAGGAATGACCTGTTGGGGGAGGGTCGAGAAAGAGCGATTACTAGACCACTGGGGCTTCCAGTGACTCTCCATCCCAGTCACAGAAAAGACACACCTGCCTTTTTCCCTGCTTCAGTTCTTCAGTCCCCCAGCCCCTGACTCCCTGGCCTCATCTCTGCTCTCACGGGTCACCTGCTCCGGCCCCGCGGGCCTTACTGCTGTTGCCCAGGCACAAGCCCTGCCTCTGGCCTTTGCTTTGCAACAACTCCCCATGTCTGACCCTTTACCGCATGTGGTCCATGGCTCATGTCCTCCTGCAACAGGCCTTTGTCTGATGTCAGTCACATCATGTGTAACTTAATCCCTTCTCCTCCTCCCCTCTCCTTCCCCCAGCCCTCCACACATGCTGTTTTCCTGGGTGTGACACTGTAGGTTGGCTCCTTGGTTGCTGCTTGTCACGCTCCATTGGAGCCCACCTTCCATGAAGGCGGGGACTTGTTTGTCCCCTGCTGGGCCCTGGGCTGGAGCGCTGCCTGGTGACACAGGAACTCAGATTTGTGGAGCAGGTGAAAGGCCGGAGCCATGACAATACCCCGATCCTGGAGCTCACAGCACACGTTTCCCGGCAGCTCCAAGTCCGAGGGAGCTGGGCCCTTGTCATCCGTCCAGCAGAACGGCTTTCAGTTGTGTCTTTTTCCCCCCCAAAGGTTCCCAGCCCCAAGCGGAAGTTGGAGGAGGATGAACCAGTTTTAGAATTCAGGCCTCCCAGGGGAGCGATCACTCAGCCACTGAAGAAGCTCAAGATCAACGTGTTTAAGGTCCACAAGTGTGCCGTGTGCGGCTTCACCACCGAGAACCTGCTCCAGTTCCACGAACACATCCCGCAGCACAAGTCCGACGGCTCCTCCTACCAGTGCCGGGAGTGCGGCCTCTGCTACACGTCGCACGTGTCGCTGTCCAGGCACCTGTTCATCGTGCACAAGCTGAAGGAGCCGCAGCCCGTGGCCCAGCAGAACGGGGCCGGGGAGGAGAACCAGCAGAACCAGCCCAGCCCCGAGCACGAGGGCGCCGACGGCACCGCGTCCGACAGGAAGTGCAAAGTGTGCGCAAAAACGTTTGAAACAGAAGCTGCCTTAAACGCTCACATGCGGACACACGGCATGGCCTTCATTAAATCCAAAAGAGTGAATTCGGCCGAGAAATAGCCACAGACCTTCCAGAAGGGGGATCCCTGTCCACATTGGAATACAGAAGACATTTTTGTTACAAGAAGTTTGCAGTATAATAGTTAACAGTACTGTCTACGCTGTTGCAATATACTCTCCTTCAACATCCCCCTCTCCCCCTCATCGTGTATATCCTCGATAAGTATTACAGCAGTATTTGGGTTTAAAAGAGTTTGTATATATTTAAATGGAAAACTTTTTATACTCTTTGTTACATGTTTGTATCAGTATTTAGTAGGAAATGTTTTGAGTTTGGGTTTTTTTTTTGAGGGGGGGCGGCGGTTAGGATTTTTTCTTTTTGTATTGTTCCTTTCAAACAGAGTTCTTCGTAACAGGGGCAGTTCCTGAATTCAAATAAACCATTTTATATGTAATGGATTTAAAAGGGTTAACTAATTACAGGCCAAGGTAAGGCCTTTTTTAGTGTTTTTAATTTTTAGAATTCACTACATACATTGTAGGGGATCGTTGGTCACAAAACACCTAGGGACTCTTAAGTGTCTTAGCACCATCCTCAACGTGCCTGCTCCGGTCTGTGAGTGCACACCTCAGACGGAGCGCACTCTGCCCGTGCGTGGCATCTTCCGGGCCAATCCAACCTCTTTAAAGCAGCAGCCTTGCCGGCGAATAAAAACGTAGGCCAGAAACCCAAACGCAGGAGGATTTCCCTATCTCCATCGTACGGGGGCGGGGAAAGGGTATCTATACTCTGGTCAGATTCACAAGGCTGGCTTCAAGAGCACAAGGAGATAAAGTTACGAAAGGGCTGGACTACTGTAATAGTTACACATAACGTCGTTAGACCAATAGATTTCTATAGTCAAGTTTTTGTCATGTAATTTATTAACTATTCTAAAGACACAACTAAAGCTATCAAGTATTTCTCTGGCTCTTGACAGGAAGTCAAAATTCCTAGTTGACTAACCCTTGGCTGTCTGAAGAGTTGGCGTTTTTTTGTTCTGGGTGCTACTGCCAAACATTCTGGTACTTAGAGTTGGGATGCACAACTCCAACCACCGACTTACCAGTGCAGCAGCACTGAGCCCCGGGTTTAGCCCCTCACTTCAATAACTACACTTATTGGGGGGAGGGAGGGGGATCTCTGCTCGCTGGGAGCACAGCGGAGTCCTCTTCTGTCCCTTCCATTCATAGTTCTCTGGGAGAGTTCTATTTTTTTTGTTTTGTTTTGTTTTATGTTTTCTTTGGCATTTTTATATCTTGTATTTATCCCTAAACATGTTTTGTACTTTTTTTTTTTTTTAGGAAAAGGAATTCTTTTGTGTACATATAGATACTTGCATGATATACTGTAGTCAATGTTCGGTTCCTCAAAAAAGGTCTTGCTGCTGTCCAGTGTTATGCACTACATCCAGAAGAACTGTATTCAACACATTTCATCTGTAAATAAACGTGGGACATTTGGCCCTTGTACTTCTGTGAGGGAGTTATTGATGGTGGGACTGTGACGTCTTCCTGAAGCTCAGGAAGTGATTCATTTCAGGGACAGGCTACAGGATATTGCAGAAGAATGGCGTATTCATTCTCATTAGCAATCAGCTGTTTGTCACTCTCTTGTTGATGCCATCAGGACACCGATGTAACCCAAGGGCATGATTAAGTATTCCTCAACTTGACATTCAATTGCTGTTACTTGTTATATTTATACTTGTATTGCTCTGAGTTGTATTCATAGCACTTTCATATGTTTTTGCATTGGAACCTTGCAATAAACCTGTGTGGTGGGCTGCACAGGTCTGACTAGCCTAATTTTCACGGTTGAGGAACCTGAGTTCCGATTAAATTCTTTACCTAAGCCCTCATAGCTGGTAAGTGGCTTTGCGTATTAGAACCCATATTCTTGCTCTAAATCTAGTCTCGCTCTATATGTTTATGTACATATTGGCAAATATTCATTTATTCAACAAATAAAAAGTATGTGCAAAACATGCTACTAGAAGTTTTGTTTGTGGCACTGTGGCTTTTATGAGATAACCTGGAAGTTGATTTACTCTTAAATACTTAGGAATGCTTGGTAATATGAAATTCTTGTCTATTAAACGCCTAGTTGACCCTCCAAGAAAGTTTTTAAAAATGTGCTGAGGTCCAAAATGAAGACATGAAACCCAGAGTAGAAAAAGAATACAGGATGCTGTCTCCCTAGGAGATTTGGATGGTTCAACTGAAGAGGGAATTGGTGAACTGGAAGATAGGTCATGAAGACATTACCGAGAATACAGCACAGAGATGAGATGAGATGAAATATATGAAAAAGATTAGAAGTCAAGAATGACCTAAGGAGAAGATCTGACAAGTTTAATAAGTATTCCAGAGAGAGGGGAAACAATTGGGAAGGGACATCATGGAAAAATCTTAGCTCCAACAAAAGACATGAATTCTTCATTTAAGGTGGTGAACACTGAGTAGACATCCACATTGGAACTTGTGAATTCTACCTGTTCTTCACCAATTGTAGATGCTGGGTGTGGTTGTAGGTGTGGGCATTTGAGAAACAGGATATAGTCATACCAAAGGCAGAAAACTGGGCTTGCTTCATGAATCCTTAGGAAGCCATTTCCTCTGGCGGGGCTGTGGTTGCTGAGGCTGACAGAGGAGGCTCAGGACAGGTTGCAAAAAGCCTTCAATGACGGACTAAGGAGTTTACTTCAATACAAATGAGTTCTTTGGACAGGAGAGCGACATAACCAGATTAACTGGTAACACTGTTTAGGAAGGATGGTGGGAGAGCGGGTATCAGGATAAGTTAGGTTATACTATGGTTGCAATCCTAAATCATTTTTTTTGTTAATCTTCACTTGAGGATATTTTCCCATTGATTTCAAGTGTTGGAAGAGAAAGAGAGAAACATTGATGCTACCAAGGTACAGGTTCTTGACCAGAATCAAACCCAGGACCCTTCGGTCCTTGGGCTGAGGCTATATCCACTGAACAAAACTGGCCAAGGCAGGAGGGAGGATCCAAGATGGCTGCTCGGGTAGACATCTAGCCGCAGCAGCACACAACAATTTCAATGGAATACAACTAAAATGTAGAGTGGACATTGCCCAGAGCTACAGGTAGTCGACTGACTGAAATTTCTACAACAAGAAGGAAAGAGAAAACCAGAAAGAAAATCAGAGGAGCTGAAAAAAAGCCTAAGGTACGGAGACATTCTGCGCGCACAGAGAGGTCGCAGCCGGAGAGGAGGAGAGGGCGGGGAGCTGCCTTTCCTTCCCTAGCAGGAAGGAAATAAAGCCCCCAGCCTGGGCTGAACCCCCGAACCGGCAGCGCTGAGCCCCCCTGAACCGACAGCGCTGAGCCCCAGTTATGGGCCAGACCCTGGGGACCCAGGCTCCGGTGGGAGGAGTCGGGGCCGTGAGGCGGAAAAAACGGCGAAAGGCAGGGCTCCGGGAGTCGCGCGCAATGCGCGCAGAGGACTGAATGTTGACTCTGATGCTGGGTTGCCCTAGCCGGAAGAAACAAGGCCTCCGGCAGCGCTGGGCCTCAGTCCGGACTGCTCCGAACCCCAGTTCTGGGCTAATCCCTGGGGACCCAGGCTCAGGCAGAGGGAGACGGGGCTGTGAGGTGGAGTCTGGGGAGAGCGGTGAAAGGCCGGGCCCCCGGGACTTGCGCAAATTGCGCGCAGAGGACAGTCTGTTGACTCTGATGCGGGACTTCTCTAGCGGAAAGGAGAAAAAAAAAACTCTAGGCTGGGGGAACGCGGAGGGGAGTGGAAGCCCCTGCGGGACTCCAGCCAACTGGGCACCAGCAAGGAGGCGGGCCACGGGGCCCCTGGGGACGTGGGTGCCCCTGAGCCTTTGACCACTGAGCTCGGGCAATGGAGCCAAGGCCGGGGGCTGCTTCCTGGGCGGCGCCGTCCCCCCAGCAACAGGCTGAAGCAGCGCAGGAGCCCGCGGAGAACAAAGGGGTGCCACAGGCCAACCTGCTGAGCTCCCAGGACAAGGAGGAAGAAACCAAAGAAGTTCTCAATGTGAAGAAATCAAGTGAGAGCAAAAGATAGTAAAATTACTTAAGAAAGAATACAAAGAAGATCTTGAAAAATCAAAGACTAAGTCAGAACTCAACTCACCAGCCAACATTGCAACATAAATGCGTTTTAAAAAGAAAAAAGAAAAAAAAAGGACAGAATGTTGGAACAGCGGCGGCCAGGCCTAGAGTGGCCAGGCACAAGGCAGTGGCAGCCAGGCCCGGAGCAGCAACGGCCAGGCCCCAGAACAACAGCAGCCAGAACCAGAGCATCAACAGCCAGCACTGGAGTAGCCAGACCTGGGGCAGTGGCAGCCAGGCATGAGGCGGAGACGGCCAAGCCCAGGGTGGCCAGTCCAGGAACACCCAGACCCGGAGTGGCCGGGCCCGGAGAAGCCGGGACCAGAGCAGCCGGGGTGGGAGCAGCCAGACCCAGAACAGCAGTAGCCAAGCCCAGAGCATCCAGGTCGGGAGTGGCCAGGCTCGGAGCGGCCGGGCCCGGGGCAGCCGGGCCCAGAGCAGCCGGGTCAGGTGCGGCCAGGCCCGGAGCAGCGACTGCCTGGCTGGGAGCGGCCAGGCCCGGGGGAGCAGGCGGGTTGGGTGCGGCCAGGCCCAGAGCAGCAGCAGCCAAGTCCAGAGCAACTAGGTCGGGAGCGGCAGTGACCAGACCCGGAGCAGCTGGTTGTGGAATGAACTAGAGCAACAGAGGCCAGGCCCTGAGCAGCCAGGCCCAGAACAGCTCGCTCCTTGCCTGCTCTTGCCCCACGGCTGCTTCTCAGACATGGCTGGAAACTTTCATGGGAACTTGAGGGTCTGCTGAATCAAGTGATGAAGGCTTAGATCTGGATGTGTTGAGTTAGTTTAGGACTGGGGTGTTGATCTGTGAGTGCCTTGGGTGGGGCCTGGATGAGGCTGGTGGACCTATTGGGAAATGTCTTTTGTGTGAAGTGTATCATTGGGCATGTGGAGGTATTATTGATATGAGAAAATGCTAA